ATGTCTAATAAGCATATCTTATTGCAGATGTCTCCAGTAGTTAATAGAAAATAAAGGAGCAAAATGAATCTTCTGGTCACTATTCTTTTTTAAGATAAAATTACCTATTTTCCCCTGTAAAACTATAAATAATTTAATTTGACTTTACATTCATATAAGCTTCCAAGTGAAGGTTTGAAACGTCCCAGAGGTTTAGTGTTACAGAAAACCAGGACCTAGCAAATCCTGAACTGTCAGTAATCATTATTCACAAATAAGTGTAGCCCACCATAATTTTAATCAAGCCCATTCTTCAGAGTATGACTTAGAGTACATAAAGTCTATGTCAAGTCTTGTGTTTTTCAAATACTAGATTGATGTGACAGACAGGGATATAAATTTTATAGTGGTCGGCATTTTTATTTTCTTTTGTCTTTTACCCCTTCTGTATTCTTACCACTCTACCCTCAACACACAAACATGCACACACACACACACCCCTCCCCCACAATCACAACCAATCATATGAAATACTATGTTTGTTATGCCTTGGACTCTATAGGTTTTCACCCTTCCTCAAAGCCTTGTTATAGCTGACAAGTATGAGTTCTCTTCAGACAATTTTCCCAAATATAAAGCATGTGGGATTTCAATACAAATCCTGTCTCTGACATAATACCTTTATAACTATGTGAGCTTTAGTTTCCTTGTCTGTAAATTGGTAATAGTAATAGATACTTCATGGCTTATAGTGAGAATTAGAGATACCATATATAAAGTGACTAGCCTATTACTTGGTGACTGATATGCACTCACTAAGTATTAGTTTTTTGTTCTACCAAGCCTTCTGTCTGCCTCCTGACAAGACCTGACACCTGAGAGTGTGACAAAGGCATAATCCCAACAATCTGTTCTGATATTTTCTCTGAAATGACAAATGACTCAAGTACATTATCTGAGTTGAACAAATACAAGATTTATAGTTATTATTCTCCAAGGGTAACAAGAGGTAATGACTAACAATTCTGGGAAGATCTTATTTGTGTTAGGTGTTGGCAGCTCTAAGCATACGTGGTAAAAGTGATATGGAGGCCCATTTCCTGGAGAGTGTAGACTGGAGGTGTCCACTTTCTTCTGTGACACATGAAACTGCTGTCAGTATGCTATCTACTCCATCTCACATCCAAAGAACTATCAAAAAAAAAAAACAAACAAACAAAAAAAAAAAACTAAGGCCTTGGCATGCCACTATTTAGCGACTTTTAGTCACTGAACTATAGTATTCCCCTTGTTCTTATTTCTTTTTGTGTACTCTTTGCCTCCTGCAGAAGTTAAAAACTCTTCTCTTTTTTAAATAAAACACCAGAGAGTAAATAGCTTAGGCTTTGAGAGCTATGTGGGCTACCACTGCAACTACTCAGCTTTGCAGTTGTAGCACAAAAGCAGCCAAAGACAGCATATAAACAGTTGAGCATGGATATCTTTCAATAAAACTTTATTTATACGATCAATGAATAAAGGACTCCTTATTTAATAAATGGTGCTGGAATAACTGACTAGCCACATGAAGAAGAATGAAACTAGACCTCTATTTTTCACTATATACAAAAATTAACTCAAAATGGATTAAATATTTAAGCGTAAGACCTCAAACTATACAAATCCTAGAAGAAAATCCAGGAAATACCATTTTGAATATCAGCCTTGGCAAATAATTTATTACTAATTCCTCAAAAGTAATTACAATAAAAACAAAAATTGATAAATGATACCTAATTAATCTAAAAAGCTTTTACACCGCGAAAGAAACTAATAGAGCAAACAGACAACCCACAGAATGGGAGAAACTATTTGGAAGCTATGCATCCTACAAATGTTTAATATCCATAATCTGTAATAAAGTTAACAAGCAAAAAGCAAATAATCCTATTAAAAAGTAGGCAAAGGACATGAACAGACCCATCTCAAAAGAAGATATACAAGGAGCCAACAAGCATATGAAAAAAAAGTTCATCACTAATCATCAGAGAAATGCAAATCAAAAGCACAGTGAAATACCATTTCACATGAGTCAGATGGTTGTTATTAAAAAGTCAAAAAATTACAGATGCTGGTGAGGTTGTGGAGCAAAGAAAATGCTTATACATTGCTGGTGGGAATGTAAATTTGTTCAGCCACTGTGGAAAACAGTTTGGAGATTTCTCAAAGGACTAAAACAAAACTATTACACCATTCGACCCAGCAATCCCATTACTGGGTATATACCCACAGGAGAAAAAAAGTCATTCTACAAAAAAAACACATGTACTTATATATTCACAGCTACACTATTCACAAAAGCAAAGACATAGACTTAACCTAGGTGCCCATCAACAGTAGATTGGATCAAGAAATTGTGGTACATATACAACATGGAATACTATGCAGCCATAAAAAATAATGAAAGGAGGCCATTATCCTAAGCGAATTAATGCAGGAATAGAAAACCAAATACTGCATGTCCTCACTTATAAGTAGGAGCTAACCACTGGGTACATATGGAGACAAAGATGGCAACAATAGACACTGTGGACTCCTGGTGGTGGGGGCAAGGATTGAAAAACTACCCATTGGATGCTATGTTCAGTACCTAGGTGACAGGATCATTCATACCCCAACCCTCAGCCTCACACAATATACTCACATAACATATGGATAATCTAGGATAATCTCACTATTTAAGGTCAGCTAATTAGTAACCTAATTCCATCTGTAATGTCTGATCATATCAGCACCTGGATTAGTGTTTGATTGAATAGCCAAGAAACAGGAGACATCTTTCGAATTTAGAATACCACAATTGTCACCTGGATTTCTGACATTGTGATACATAAGTATATAGATCATTTGAAATGTATCCAGAAATAACCTATTCAAGCTTTTGGTTTTGGTAGGTTATATCTTAGATTTGAACATATTCCATAAGCATATTTTATATAGTTACTGTTATGGAGTTTATCCAATAGTCTGGGCTTCTCAATAGGTAATATAGCCACTTGGGAGTAAATCTATGATAGACAAACTATGGTCTGACCTTTCAATGAATACCTTTCTCCAAGGATAACATTTTCACTTTTTTTCCCAATAGTGGAATGGTGTTTCATATAGAATTTACCTTTGCCTCATAGATTCCGAAGCAGATTTCAGGATAATTGCTGTGGGGAACAAGGTTGACATATTTTTCTGGAGTGACTTTTCTATTTGGGATCCAGCTATTGATTTTCAAGTCCAATAAGTTGCTGAATCAAGTGAATATAATACTCTGGGACTTGAAATGTCTATTTGACTCTCAGTTGCTTTTCCTCAGCCACCATATCAGACATGTCACCAATTCTTACTGATTCTCATTCTCAATGGCCCAAGTGTCTGTGTCTTTCCCTTTACTCCTCACCTCCATGATACCCTGATTTGCATCTTCATCATTTTCTATCTTCTTTATTGTTTAACTTTCTAATTTGCCTGCCTACCTCTGGTTTCTCTCTTCATATATTTATCCAGAGATTATGTGATTCAATCTGAACTTTAGAAAAACTGCTAGAATGACACTCCAGTTCTTTACCTCAGCATTCAAAGATTTGGCCCCAAATCCTACCTTTTAACTCCACTTTTCAATAGAATTCTCCACAAATCCTTTACCTTAGTTACATAGTCCTATTTACTATTTTCAGAACATGCCCCATAGAGGTTTTGGGACAGTAATGCTCACCTAATCAGCTAAAGCCGTTTCTTAATTTTTAATTAGAAATATATGTAGTCTACCGAATGACTTCTACGGCTGTTAAAATCATTGTGATAAGCCTGAAAATGACTTTTATAGCAGCATAACTACTATAGGTTGAATTCCAGGTATTCTAATTCATTCCACAAATATTTCCTGAGTGCCAGTTACCGCTCCTAGAAGTGGTGAACAACACAGCCAAGATCCCTGCCCTCATTTCACTGATAATAATGAGAACTATGAGGATATGAAAAGAAGGGTAATGTGTTAAAATTATGGGAGAATAGTCAGCCATTCATTTGAAAAACATTAATTGAGATCATAGTCTGTGAAATACTTTCTTGTAGGTACTATGAAAAAAAAAGATGAAGAAGACAGAAATCAGTTCTCAGAGCATTTACAACCTAGTAGACATGAGAGGATAGAAATAATACTGAAGGATGCTATAAGTAGTGGGAGAAGTACAGACAAAGAAGAAGATTATAAACATTTCAGGAGGGAAGATGAGGGTGATTTCATGTAGCCATTGCAGGCAGGGCTTAAAAGATGGATGTGACTATTCAAGGATCCTTCTTTCCCATCTTTAACACTGAATTTATTACCAAATCCAGGCAAGCAGTTCCACCACTTATAATTTGAATTTATTACTCCTCTCTTAGTCTTACCATTGCCCTAGCATGGATGCCATCATCTGTCTCCTGGACTATTACAATGGCCAATCTGTCTCTTCATCCTACTCTCTCATCAGTCTAACCCACTGTACATGTTATATCAAAGAATCTTTCCAAAACAGAATCTGATCATGACCTCTTTTTCATTCAGAACCTATACTTGATCTCTATTGTTTGCATTGAAGATCATTTATCCACTAATGCAGTGGTTAAGAACTTGAGCCCCAGGTCAGACTTACTGGGATGGGATCCTGGCTCTACTACTTACCAACTGTGTGATAGGAGGCACATTATTTTATTGCTCTAAGTGCCAATTTCCTCATCTATAAAATTAGGATATAGTGTTTACATAAGGTTGCTATGTGGATAAAAATATATGAAGTGTGAACTGCAATTAGCAAGTACCTAGCAGATAGTAAATATTCAATTAATACTGGGCACGGTTATTATTATCACCATAAAAATACTCAGAGATTGAGATAAACTTTGTAAATAGGTAGTTGTTTTCAGTTCATTAGGGATTTTGAGTTAATTATGTGGCTAAATAATTGAATTTCAATGCTCTTCCCTTTTCACTTGAGCAGGCAATAAAGGATTATAACTAATTGAGTGGTTTGAAGAAAAGGCAAACGCTTCCAAGCAAGTCAATGTTCTCAGCACTGATGTTGTCGACAGTCCATTTAAGACGAAGTCAGGTAATTAAAGAAACAAGATGTAGTTTCCCAACTATTTTTCATCTTAATTTGGCTAACTAAATAACTTCTCTATGTTATGCAGTTAATCAGCACAAATGAGTTTCCTGAATCCAACAGGTGTTTCACAACTTGGTAGCATGAAATCTAAATGTAATTCATACAAGACAAGAGGGAAGTCAATGAAAACAAAAATTCCCAGTGATTTTCCATATATCCTCACCACCAAGATTTTCAAAGAAACCGTTTAGCTCACTATCTGAACAGTTCCTCACTGGAAAAAGCTATTATCCAATATTTTACTGAACACTTAAGAAAGTAACATAAAACGAATGAATGAAATGATTCACATTGGCCAAAATAATCCTTGATTTTCAACAATGTTTATTTCCGATTGCTTTTAAATGTTACTTTTTAAATCCAGTGTTTCTCAGCAAAGGATTAATAATGTGTACCTTGTCTCTCCCTCCTCAAAATGGGAGCATTTGGAAAACAAAGAGGACATTTCTGGTTATCTGACAAAGCTGGTGAGTCAATGGTATTTAGTGGAAAAGGCAAGATGCTAAATGAAAGCAAGAAATGCATGATCTTACTGAATGAATAAGTGGCTTCAAATGAAAATAACACTCTACCTTGACAGTGCTTTTTAGTGTATTCAGATTCCCAATTCAGTTAAAGATGAATGCTTGTGATTGAGGAGCGGCGTGTTCTCATACGTGTGTAGTAAAAGCAGAGCAAACATCTTCGGCCTATTTCTAGGCTTATCTCATCTTTCACCACAGAGAACAAGTGCTGTATTTAAGTCTGGCACATATGGCAAGGAGGTTGGAACTGATTCCAGTGTTACTTCTGGGTGTGAGTACTATGAAGGCTTTGCACATGGGTCACACAGAAGAAGATACTACAGAGAGTGTGTGAGTGCAGTTAAGAATTAGGCAGTCCAGCCATGGCCTCTTCTTCCACTCAAACCTCAGTACCTTCCAGAACGTAGGCAGTTCCTAAAGTCACAATGTATAGCACAGATGCCCACCCTCCCAGGAAGTGTGGCTTATATGCCCAGAAATTAGGACATCATTTCTGTGCCTCATGTTGCTAGAACTCAGTCTCCAGGTTTGGAATCTTGAGAGGAGACCATGTTCCCCTGCTGTAAATATCAGCAGAAGGCTGATGCAGTCATCCTAGAAGGTTATCTCAGTAAACCTCCACAGATGAGTCCAGGATCTTTGGCTTCAGTTAACTCTAGAACACTCAAAGTGAAATAACTGTGTGACAGAAAAACTTGGGATGGGAATGGCATTGCCAATTATTATGAACTTCCTTGCCTTGAGCTGTCTGGGAGAAAGTGAAAGCAGAATATAAATCTGCTCATTTCTGGCCATTTGTATGTCCAATTCTCTTCAGTTATTAATAAGAGCTGAAGAAGTACAGAGCAAGAGCAAACCTGCCAGGATACAAGAGTCAGACACTTCACCTGTTGCTGGGAAGAGGCCAGCCATAGTGGACCCAAGAGAAGGGTAAGACAATGTCTTTCTGAGGAATTTTTGATCTTTATTCAGAGACGCCTCTGAAATGAGAAGACTCCTTAATTTTTCAAGTTTGATGTCACATCAGTGACCCAGAGGAGGTCAGAGACTCAAGCAAAGTAACACTTTCTTATCATTCTCCTCAGGAAATGCAGTTTAAATACTTTTCAACAGTAAATATATAAGTCCTGTCTGACCTAAGCACAGAAAGTTTCCTTTCATTTTGACATATCGGTCTTGCACTATATGGTTCCCATTATAGGTAGAAAGTTTCGTACCAGACAGTCTATAAGGAGGTGACAACAGTTCTGTTGTACAATGTCAATACTTGTCCCCCTCCAACCTGCGTGCTGATATATGATTTATCAAAATAAAGATTTATTAACTGAGCTTAAAGCATCGTATTCCTATTTAAAATTCAGGCTTCATAAGAAAAAAGTCACATTTGTGCATCACAGTAACTTAGTTCCGTAAATGAATACAGGATATAGATGTCAGAAATTACTGAGAATAGAATGGGAGGTACATAAGGAAGCAGAAAGTCAAAGGGAAAAGTGGATCCCAAAATATAGGCTATAAGGACCAAAAGGAAACTGCATTTTTCAGTTTTTGTTTCTCAGGCAGCTATTGGCCAGTTTTTGACTGAAGTAGTAGGAAGTTCTAATATACTACCAAGTCATTGTATGTAGTCCTTTCTGTTTTTTATTACTGAGATGGGGTCTTATTATGTTGCTGAGCTGGCCTTGAACTCCTGGGCTCAAGCAATCCTCTTGCCTTGGCCTCCCAAGTAGCTGGTACTACAAGTCACATTGTGCCACCATGCCTGGCTAACTTTATGGTCCTTTCAGACAGCATTGTTTCATTCTCTCAGTAGAATACAAAATGAGGCAGCGCTAGTGTTAGAAGCTTTTATCTGGCTGTGTACAAAATGTCTAGGGTTCTTTTGAATCTTAGGCTGTCAGTAGAATACAATCTAAATTTCATCTAACTCAGCACTCATGACAAATACGTTTTCACTGATGAGCAGAGATGAGTTGAAAAGATAGCCTGGAAGTATCCTATGTATTCTATCCTATGTATTGACCCTTCCTACCATCTTGAGTTCATTTATCACTCTTTGGGTCACCCACAATGCTTTGTGCTTTTGCACCACCAATCATATTGCACTCTGACACCCCCTCAACACACACACACACACACACACACACATGGTGTAAGCTCCTTTAGTGGTAGACCAATGGTTTCTTTGCTTCTGTGTTGCAGTATCTAGCATGGCACCTGACTCATCCAAAAACAATCAGCGATTGAATAAGTAACTCAGAGCCTACAAATGCCTCAAGGTTATGTTTGCAGATTTAGCTCAGGCATCATAGAGTAGGTTACAGAATAGTGGACTTGGAGATGGGAGATAGTAACTAACTCACCAGCACAATCAATTATACAAATTGAATCATTCAAACCATTATAGCACTGGGTTGAGAGCCTTAAGTTCTGATTGTTCTCAGTCATCAAGGGATATAACATCTAGTTAGGGAGAAAAGGTACACACCTGAAAAGTTACTAATATAAAGTGCAGGAAAATTTAAAAGATGGCAACGTAATGAGCTTCTAAAAGCCTTTCTAAGCAGAGGTGTTCACTACAGAGATATCCTAAGGTAATAAATTACTGAGTACATATAAATAAGTGGGTGAGTGACAAATGCCAGCTGAGAGTATGAGAGCCATCCCAGAAAGACATCAAATTGTACATGAGACTTAGGGAGAGATAAATGGGGTTCAAGGATAGCAAAAACGGAGGAAGAGAAGCCCGTCAGGCAGAGGGAGATACCTTAGTGCAAGGACATGCATGAGGTGTAGTTCTCAGGCAGCATACCTTGACATTATATTAAGTGCTATTCTCACCAAAGAAAATACCATTTCAGTAGATTGAAGCTTCAGATGCTTTGACAATGACACCTATTCAGGAGTCTTTGAAACAAGAACAACATGAATTCTATTAAAAATTGATACCGGTCTGCTGGAATCCATTTTTCTCTGAAAACTGTAGAATGTAAATGATGTATCTCCCAATGCCATTACAAAGAATACAGCCTTCATTTTGTTATTAAAATACATTTGGAAACACCCATGTTTGCAGGCATTTTGGTATCTGGATCAGGACTTTAAGTTCCTAAAAGCCTGTTTTTGCTTAAATCCCAAATAATTTGAGTGAGCTAAAGATCTAATCAGATTTATCCAACATAAGGCACAAAGGCCAAATGTCATGGAAGATAATAAGGTGGTTTTCACTACATGAGTTAGTCATTCGTTCTACACTGAGAGTTGGTTGGATTCTAGTATGTACCGAACTCATTCTGAACTCAGAAATCTGTCAAAGACAAGAAAGGCAGAGTCGCTGCTCTCATGGAGCTACAGTATAATGAAGCCAGTTACCTCAGTTTGTCAAGAGGATCATCCCAGTTTCCCCTCTCCTGAGCAAAGCGAGTTCAAGCTCTCTATTCTCACTGTTCCTACAAACAAAGACCCAGCTCTCAAGGAATGCATCTCCCTTCTCAGGTGACAGTGCTGAGTTCTCAGAGTAGAGCAGTCTTTGCTTAGTAGTGACAAACCAGCAAGTGGTATGGTCGCGAGAGAATGGTGTAACTTTCTCCGTATCACCCACTTGATACTGTATTGCAAGAGGCACTGGGAACTCTCCCCATCCTCTCAGCCTAAGGCTGCTTTATTGAAATCCTGTATTAGTAAAAGTCTAGAAATTGTATTCTTGAAATGATATTTTAAGTGCTTTCTTTCTTATCTAATTTAATACCTATACTAATTTCAGATTTCTTCTTAGCAAGTTCAGATCAACAGCAACCAGAGGAGAAATCATAACTCCCAAACTCAAAGTGGGCCGGAGCTATAGCTTGAATTTAGACGGTCAACTTTAGGAGTTTAAAGTCAGCTCTGGATTCAGACAGGTAAGAGTCATACAGATTGAGCAATGAAGCAGATTGAGCAACCTGAAGATAGATTGATATACTCCCATTCATAGGGGATTTTAGGTGTCTGTGACAATATTACCACTTGGAGAACTCTAACACATAATATGAAAATTCAGGAAGATATGTTTAGTTGATATGGAAAGCACGCACCCTACTTCTAGAATTATAGCTATTGGAATTGCTTATGTCACCTGCAGGGATGAAACTTTATGTTCTGGCACTTGAGGCTGCAGTTCAAATGGAAATGTATGGGGCAGGTAAATGTTTTTCATTGACTTCTTGAAACTTTTCTATTTAGCTTCGGAAAAAAAAAGACACCTCTGAGTGCCAAAATACATTCCTTGCAGCTTTTAAAAATTATTAATAATTTTACATTTGAATTCGCGTCAGAACCTTTTCTCGTGATTCGCTTCCTTTCTAGTTCCACCTCTTCCTGACTGGAGGTTGTCAGTGGAGCCAAGTGAGAATGCCTTATCCACAGATCTATCACTTGTCAAGAAAATAATGAAAACACAAAAGGATATGCAGAGCATAGTCATTTTATATCAGGCGTGATTTTCTGTGTCCTATTGGAGCATAGTCAAGACTATTTCCTTGATTAATTGTATTATCAAGAAGCTAGCAATGAAAAAAATATCCACCCTCATATTTCACTGGTTTGTCCAACTGTTAACTCCCTTTCATTTGCTTGGATCTGGGGTAATTCTGCTAAGCCAGATAGTACAACTGTGAATTTTGCTTTTCTCATAGGTTAGGAAGAATGCAAGCAGGGTGCATTCTTTCCTGTAATCCGTTTTAGAATGCGAACCAAAAAATTTCCTTAGAGGGGACACTATTTGACTATTGGGTTATTTTCATATGGTGACTCTCTCCATAGCTGTTTCTTTTGTCCCTATAACAGTCCTTTCCTTGACGTTACTTTATGCAAAACTATACAGAAAAAAAATTACAAGAAGCATAAAAAGTCATTTGTCACCCATTATCAAAATATTAGCACTGTATTCAGTATTTCCCAAACTTTCAGAGAATCTTTGATATATTCCCTTTTATGATTACAAACTGTTAAACTATAGTTTGCCTTTATCCTTGAAATGATTTTTGTTTGTCTTCCCTTGAGGTAGTTTCATGTTGTGTCCCACAAAACTTTCTATAAAAATCTCATTTGGCTACAGGCACAGTAAGCTTACATCTATAATCCCAATGCTTTAGAGAGCGACTAAGGCAGGAAGATTACTTGACAGGAGTTTGAGGTTACAGTGAGCTATATTAAATGCCCGCACTCAGCATGGTGACTGAGCAGATCACATACTCTAAAAATGTCATCAATCATTTGTTTTTCATAGTTGGACTCCTGACTCTGGAGATAGTAGTGAGTCAAAATTATTAGAACAGTAAGCAACTAATTTGGTGTTCTTTTGCTCAGCCTCTGGGACTCCATGGATGAGCCACCTTGGCTAACGCGAGGCTAGTATTTAAGAAAAACAATATATCACGAAAAGGCGAAAGACAAAACGTTCCTTGTTAAAGAAAAAAAAGAAAACTGCCACCCTAGCAAAATTAGATCCGATGATGCTATTTTTAGTTATGTGTCTTACAGTTACTCAACAAGAATAATAAGGGCATGCTCTCAGGTATCAGTGATACCTTAATGGAATCTGTCTACCTGGGTTACATTTTGTGTCTTACCTATAGTAGGTATAAATAGCAAACTATAAACCATATGGACATGCATCCTGGAAATCCTGGTATATTGACCAGGAGCATCTTGTTCTTGTTTATGCAAGCTGAAGAAGAATTCCCCTAAGTAGACTTTATCTTAAATTGTAAGTACCAAATGGCTTACACACATACTCAGGTTTGTGTAGTCAGGAGTGCTTTAGCTTAAGCATGCTAAGAACAATGTTTTCCATGAAGAAAGTGAGTAAAGATGCTCAGGGAGATCAATAGAGCAAAATGTCCTTTCCCCTTGGTGATACTTTATCACAATGATGACTCATTAATGAACTGCCACAGTGAGATGAGTTCCATTATTTAAAATGAGTCATAGAAAATTGAGGCAGAGTAGCCATCTTTTCTTAACTCCCATTATCTAAAAAGACTGTGAATCCCAGTCTCTTTGGTCTGTGCACCTGACCCAGCTTGCTAATAATTCCCCTTTCTCCTTTACAATGCATATTTTTTCATGGATCATTGATCTTTTCCTGGAGCAACTGGGCTTGGCATTCCTTTTTTAAAGCTTTCACATCATATAACAGTGTAAATGATGTTTGTATCAGATGTCAGTTGGCTTTATTTCTTTTCAATGGATTTCAAAAAAGGAAAATATGAATAGATTAAAGAAGCCTAGCAGCCTCTCAGAAGAAACTTGTCAAATGGATGTTCACCAGTTGCTAGGGACCTGACACATGAGACAAAGAATATTTTTAGGAAAATAAATGTGCTTCTAGTTAATAAACAGAATATTATTCAAGGTAGTGATTTTTAATCCTAGTTGTGATAAACTGTCACTGTGGTATGATTTACAAGCTCTCCCAACAGAGTCATGCTCTCCCAGAAACAGACGCCTAGAGCAGGTACACTTAAGCAAAACGTGATTTATTATTAATCAAGTGATTCAAGAGAAATCAGGGAAGGGAGTAGGGAGAGACAGAATAGAGAGAAGAAGCTAAGCAATAGGTGCTAGCTCCAGTGAGTCCTGGGGACTCAGCCTGATCCCTGTAGGAGACTCTAGAGCACTCAAACTATCATCTGAGCTTTCTCTACGTTGAGGGGGCTGGATCATTGCACTCCTATGCAGTCAGTCATTGACCATGGCCTCCTTGAATAGAGTCTCTAGACTTAGCAAATGAAGGTACAGGATGCCCAGGTATATATAGTTGAGACTAACAACTATTTTTTAGTGTAAGTATGTTTCATGCAATATTTGGGACATCCCTTATACTTAAGGTATTTTATCTGAAATTCAAGTTTAGCCAACTGCGAATTCTGTATTTTATCTCACTACTCTTCTGTAGGGTGAGGGAGACAAACTCCAGGGCATTTCTTGGCGTCTGGCTCCAGTGCTAAAAGGGAATGTCTCTGAAGGTGGCAAGTGACATCCATTAGTAGAAAAGAACTCAGGAGCTAGGGAGGAGCATGCACAGCTAGTAAAGGAGGAATCACGAGGAGATACCAACAATGTTATCTTAAAAAAAAACAAAGGAAAAGTAGAACTTTTGAGCCTAAAATGTATTTTGTTCAGTAAAATGGAGGAAGAATGATGTATTTCTCAGTAGCCTTTTTCTATCATGTCACTGGAGAATATGGCAATATTTACATGGACTGTGAACAGATGGTCAGGACCTTGTTCCGTCTCGTAACCAACTAGATTCTCATCTTTCTGCCCTCCCTCCTCACCCCACACACACCAGTTTCATCCAGTTATTCCCAGTTGCTCTCCAGGGAGTCTGGGACTGATGGTCAGTCTCTGTGAAGCTTCATAAGCTGCTTTGCTTTGGCTGTGATCCACCAAAAGCAGGGCCACACCATTCAAACCAGCCCTTAACTAGTTCTCATCCTCATTTCAAGCACTGCCCCTCTCTCTTTCTCTCTCTGTCAGGAAATGTGGCACTTCTGTTACTATCATGAATTTGAAGAATCATCCATTCCTCATATCTATTATTTTGGTAAAGTGAGTTTATTAAACCCGTTCTATCACTAAATGATACCTTCTTTTTCATCAGAAATAAAATTATTCTCCTGTCCTAAATGTAATTTTCATTGTATCTTTACAATTAAAAGGTGCCAATTAGGTGGCAACGCTTACTAGAAGGCCCCCGAATATAGCAAGGCGGGGTGTTGCTCTGAGTCAGGACCACATCCACAAAGTCAGCAATGGTCTGTTTGCATCGTAGATAAATACTACATACCTAGTTGCTAATGCTAATAGCCAACTCCATTCCTTACCAGGCTTAAAGAACGTTCAAATGTACAGCATATCTCTGAAAGTATGTTCATTTCATTCTGTAATGATCGTTTGGTGACTCAACAGGATAAAGGCTGTGAGCATTGTCCTCAAAAGGAAGGTACTTTCACCTCTTTCCTGTGCCTTTCCCTCCTTTGTCACTGCTAATTCCTTTTTTTTCCATTTTAATCTCCTTTGGGTAAGCTCAGCCCTCCTTGTGGGAGTGAGAGTGCGCAATCGAAACCCTGGCTGTGGCAAATGCTAACAGCCTAAAGCAATTTGCAAAAACCATGGTGGTCCCAGAAAGTGAATTTTAATTCCAGGAGCAACTGACACATGATAAAACAGGAGGGGAAACATGAATTCTGAAGTATTTTGTTATACTGTGACCATATCAATTGGAGATACACAGTCTGAAGTTGCAAAAAAATAATAATAATAACTAGCTAGAAACTTCTATTTAAGAACTCAAGCCATCCTTTCCCTAAACTCATCCTTTGCCCACCATATGCACCAATATACCACACTTGATTTGGGTTCCTTTGGAAGAAAAATCCTGACATAAGGATTCAAAAGTGTGTGTATGTTCAGGATGTGGTCTAGAAACAGAATGAGAGTGGGAAATGAGCAGGAAAGGGAAGGCAGGCAAAAGGATGTATCATTAATTAAGCCAGTTGCTGTTATTGGGCAACTAGGCTCCATCTCACTGGCCAATTCTAGAAAACAGTGCTGAACATACATCAGAGTTATCCAGTCAAGAGATGAGAGTCTGGGGTATTTCAGCAACTGTTCACAAAATTTGTGAGGGGCTGCTTCTCTGTATACAACTTGCCTGATGCAGGGACTCCATGCTGTGATTCAAAAAACTATCAGGCAGGGGTTCTTAGGTATTCCCAATAACCAAGATTCTGTGGGTAGAGGTAGTGCTGAGGGCAAATGGGCAGGGACACTGACAGAGTCTGCTACAACCTCCCTCCCAAACTCCTCTCAGACCTCCTTCAAACATGCAGTTTGTCAGACCATTGTTCAGCCC